GATGACAGAAAACAATTAAATTAACAGCATATCCTAAGATTTACTATATTAAATACATTAAATTGTATGAAAGCAATTAATATTTTAAACTGTTTATTTTTACTTTAAATTTAAACACAAAAAAAGTTACCTGGATTTTACTGTATACACTGTAAGATTTCTGGGGTTACCTTCTCTGCCACACGATCAAGAAAACTACATCTCACCGTACAAATATTCTGACTATTTGAAGTTGAAATTGGGACACTACATACCTTGGGAACGGCTCCTTAAGGAACTGGACAATGGAACATGTAGAGATTTATTGGAAACACCGTTTTTCAAAAATTTCAATTGTTTTGGGGATCGCCTTGTTTCAAGTGGCACTGATTTTTCATACTTATCGGACTCACCAGACCTAACGCCATCTGTAGGGCAGAGTAAGAACCAGATTCATACGACAATTTGTTTTACTTTGGAAAAGATAAAACCACTAGATTGATGAAAACACCGCGCGCGAAGAAGCGACGCACTAAGTCACATAAACTGGTTACACGCCTTTCAGGAATAATACATGAATCACGACTAGCTAAGCTACATATAAAATGTTGGAGTCAGATCTTTTCTGATAAAATGCTACAAACAATAGTCAAGTTCACATACCAGTACATCCATCTTGAAGTAAGGGATCTGTTTGACTGACAACGTGATGCAACCGACAATGACATGACAGAACTCAAGGACTTCATAGGCCCTTTATATCTAGCAGCAACTTTTCACGCCAACAAAATGATGTTAGAGGATCTCTGGGGTACAGGCGGGGATATATTTCGACTGGTTATGAGTCTCAAAAGGTTCAAGTTTCTTATGAAATGCCTGTGTTTCGATGACCGCATCACAAGACCTGAAAGGAAAGCTGTTGACAATATTGCGCAGATTCGCGAACTCTTCGTTGCAGGTTCAAACAATATATCCCTTTAAAGCCATCCAAATACGGAGTAAAACATGCTATGAGTGATGCAGTTACTTTTTATAGTTATAGCCTGAAAATATATGCTGGCAAGCAAACCCAGGGACCCTATGAACAAAGTAATAAACCATTTGATGTAGTTAGAAGATTGGCATAACCTATTTATAAAGCGGGGCGAAATATAACGGCAGGTGATTGGTCAAGAGATGTGCAACTTGTTACCGAATTAAAAAGTAATAGACTGTCGTATGTTGGCATAATAAAAAAAATAAAAGGAAACTGTCAGTAGATCTGCTAAATGTAAAAGGGCGACCACCATAGTCAACTATGTTTGGTTTTAGAGAACATTCCACTATTGTTTCCTACGTACCAAAATACAATCGAAATGTTCTTGTTATATCTTCTCAGCATTACGATGATTCCATAGATCAGATGTCAGGACACGCTACGAAACCAGACATGGTCACATATTATAATAAAACCAAGTAAGGTGTCGACGTTGCCGATAACCTTTGCACTTCTCACAACGTTGCTAGAAACACAGGTCGTTGGCCCATGGTCATCTTTTTTTCCCTGATGAACGTTGCAGGCATTGACGCCCAAGGGATTTTAATCGAAAATGGACAGGAGAATATACAGTTCCGCCTTTTTCTTCGGAAACTAGGCCATAAGTTAGCCTTACCACAATTACAAAATACAAGTCTTATGATACAAAGTATACCACATTCTCTTTCTGAAGCGCTCAGCAGAAGCTGGACTAGTGGCTGCAGAAGATGTAGCTTAAACAAAGCGTAGTCGATTTGCTTTATGTTACACATCACGAAAGACCAGGATAACCAAAACCATTTGCAAGAATTGTAAACGATATATTTGTGTCTAGCATACAACTCCAATGTGTACATTATGTTGCTTAAGGTTACAAGAACAAGAAGACTCAGGTGACACATAAGTGACAGATCGCCACCGTAATGAACTGTAATAATGATTTTTTTTTTTGGTTTGAAATGTTTATAAGAAAATATTATTTAATGTTTGCGTCATATAGGAAGGCAACATTTTATTTTTACCAATTTATAATCTAAGAAATCAAATCATTTTATACAAGCACTTAGGTTATATTTATATATAAGTTACCGTTTTTGATAATATATAAATATTTTAAATCCTTCCAACAGAATAAATTATAAAAATAATAAAACATACAACTAAAACAACATATATACATGTGTATTTACATATACAAATAGTTTTTTTGTTATCACAATATATTTACACAAACAAAAAAGGAAGAACATAATGAATTATTGTATGTAATCTACAACTACGCTTGATCCAAAAACTATTGCTGTTACTGTAATTTCAAGTCAAGGTTAGGTGTATCATTTTGATACATTATGACAGCTTTTATACAAGAATAAGTTGCGACCGACGAAAGGTTAATGAGGCTGCAGCGATTCTAGGCTTAAAATCAAAAAAATACTTAACCCACTCAGATAAAACAGCTACCTAGAATATAAAAAGTATGTATCAGACTGGAAACTATATAACGTTAAAAAGAGGCTGAATATAGATTTTTTCTTTATCTTCTAAATTGAATGCCGTTTCTTTACTAATATTATACATTCTCGCTAACAGCCGCCACTGCCACCACCTTCTGCGCATCTGGGCTACATAGAGACGCGTTGCCTAGAAAAGACAATTATTCAAATTCTGAGCCGCCACGTTCTAAGGATAACATCCGCATTCCGCATATCGTTATAATTTAATTCGGAGACATGATTCCAGTTATTCCTCAGGAATGAATTCGAAGTGGTTATTGTACTGTTTTGGAATATAAAAAAAGCACAAACGATACACAAACCGATATTGTACAAGGAATTATTAAAGGTCGCATGAATATTCAATCTAGAGATTTAAACTGTACGTCAGATAAGCCATTTTTGAAATTTATGAACAAGGTATTAGTTACTGTTTTACTGAAATAAAAATGAAACGGTCAGTTAAAGCCGTTGTTAAAAATTATAATTCTTTCAATTCAGCTAAAAATGAAAACTAAATGCCTCAAATTTTATAAAAAAGAACTAACTTTAAAGGTAATCGATAATTGGTATGTTTGGGATCTATGGTATCTTCACTAAATCATAACATTCTGGAAAAGTCTCAAGAACTTTCTCTTGGTTTTCAAAGACATATTTTAACAAAAAAAGTCTATTAAAATATGGATGTTACAACAGTGATTTGATCGCAAAAATTAACTTTCTTGTAATCGAAAATTTGGCAAATCAATATTGGAAAAATCATTACAAACGAGGAAGTCGAGATAACCGTACAAGAAGTAAAACAAACTTTAGAAAAACTGAAGAACCGAAAAGCTGCAGGTAAAGATGGAATTCCAAATGAATTATTGAAATATGGTGGAGAAGCATTAACAGAACAGCTAACAGCTAGCACTAATTAACAAAATCATCAAACATAATAAAATACCTGAAGAGTGGAAGAAAAGCGACCTTATCCTACTACACAAAAAAGGAAATAAAAAACAACCTGAAAACTACAGAGGTATCAACTTATTAAACACCACTTTGAAGCTTACAACTAAAATATTGCAAGGCCAAATAAATCAGAGAATTACCTTAGCGGATGAACAGCAGGGTTTTCGCACAGGAAGATCGTGCACAGATGCAGTATTCATCATAAAACAGATTACCGAGAAAGCACTAGAGTATAACAGACCAGCATTCATATGTCTAATAGACCTGAAGAAAGCGTTCGATAAAGTAAAGCTTAAAGGTGTAATTCACCTTATTTACGATAGAGAAATTCCACTAGATGTTATAAAAACAATAGAGAACATTTACCAGAACAACAATATGGAAGTCAGAATAGATGACCAGCTTACAGATCCAATAGATATGGGCAGTGGAATAAGACAAGGAGACTCGCTTAGTCCAACGCTATTCAATCTAATCATGGATGAAATCATCAATACTATTAATAAAGGAAGTGAAAAATCAAGTACAAAAGGCTAATAAAATAGCAGGTTGTCTTAATAACACGATATGGCGCAATCCCCACATTAATACCGACGTGAAATCAAGAATCTACAAAGCAACAATAAGACCAATAATGACATACACTTCAGAGACAAGACCCGATACCTCCAAAACTCAGCAACTACTAGAAACAGCGGAGATGCGTTTACTGAGGAGAATTACAGGAAACACAGTGAGGGATCGAATGAGGAGTGAAGAGATCAGAAGAAAATGCAATATACCAGAAATAAATGAGTGGACACTGAACAGAAAAAAGGAATGGAACGAACACATAAACAGAATGGAAGAGACCCGATTAGTCAGAATAGCGAGGGACAAATCACCAAAAGGTAGAAGAAGTATCAGGCGACTACGCAAAAGATGGAGTGATAACCTCCAATAGAGGCATTAATCGACATTGAACAAGCATTTTGCTTATAAAAAAGAAGAAGAAGAATATTGGAAAAAGAGAAACCCTCCTCTTTAGTAGATCCATTCATTGATACGAACTTATTTCAAACCGATATTGTTCAACTTAATAAAATACCATTATATACACAGAACTTCGTTTCGTAATATCTTAAACCAAACCATAAAAAAATCTATTATATGTTATGGTATATGTTATATTATAAGTTATGTTCACTTTTTAACAGGAATAAGAGGGAGCTTCTAGAGTCTATACAAATAAAAAATTACGCAATAAATGATCAAAAATATGTCAAAAATTTAAACAAAATATATTTTAATTTAATTTAAAAACACACAAAAAGATAATCTCAGAATGCCTATGATGTTAAAATAACTGATTGTTTAAACCAGTGATTCCCAACCGGGGGGCGATTTAAGATATTCAGGGGGCGATATAGCGAAGGGGTCGATGAAGCGAAGGGGGCGATATGGGGGGCAACAGAGAAAAGGAGGCGATAAAGGGGGCATTTAGCATACGGAAGACGAGAAATGGGTAATTAAGAAAAATAAGAAAAGAGAAATAAAATACAATACTTTCGATCGATACTATGTTGGCACCCAGTCAGGCCAGCCAAGTAACAGATGCAGTTCCTCTCGGCAATAATACTGTCTCCAGAAGGATTGATAAAATCGGAGCGAATGTCGAAGATGTTCTCTGCAACAAATTGAAAAGCAGAGAGTTTACTGTGCAACTTGACGAGAGTATCCTGAATGACAGCACAGCTTTGCTGCTGTCATACCGATTCATTGACGACAATAGAGAAATGGCCGAGGAAATGCTGTTTGCTAGAAGTCTGATTACTGATACAAAAGAATCTTCCATATTTGAGTCATTCGTAAAGAAATTTTTTGAGGAAAAAGAGATTCCCTTATCAAATATGATCGCCTGTGCTACTGACGGTGCAGCAGCATAGACAACACGCCATCGGGGATTTGTTGCACATCTGAAACAAGCAGTAGGTACCTGGAATTTTGTGTGTTCACTGCGTCATTCACAGTGAGCATTTGGCTAATAAGAATTTGAGTGGGAGGTTGCACGATTCTCTTCGACTTGTCATAGATGCGGTAAATAAAATTAAAGCAAAACCAAAGAATGATCGAATATTTCGTACACTCTGTGAAGAAAATGATAAGATATTTAATATATTGTACTACTGTTATGGAATACTATGCGTTTATTTCTTCTCCGGACTAACTCTTTGTTTTGGAATTAAACAGAATATATTGACATGTATAAATTTATTATATTAGAGGATGAAAATTACACTCTGTTTGTTATTTCTTAAAACTATGAATTTATAAGTTCTGTTATCTACAATTATTAATCGATGTTTCTGGATGGATTTGAGTACAAGAGATTGGACTCAAATATTAATATTAAAATAGCAAATACGGATAGCTTATCGAACAAAGAAATAAGAGAAATAAATTATTATTATTCCATAGATACGAAGTATTAGGCGAATAAACTAGCGAAACTTATTTATTCTAAATAGGAAAATATTTATGAAGAGTATTGATTCTGATTTCTAACAGCAAATAATTATTAGTGATTATACATGAGAACTTTTCATAATTGTAAATAACATATACCAGGTGACTAAAAACTATATAGAAATACATAGATACTTTAATTATCTTACATGTGAGTAGGTAGGTACATTACACCTCCTTTTGTAAGAATGAAAATAATTGTAAAATGAATTTTCATTTAAATGGTATAAAACATTTGTATACATTATTATTTTATTTTAACACATTTAAATAGTTTCTTTTAGTCTCGATAGTCTTTCACTTCGTCTTATCGGTGTAGTCTCTGTGAAACTAGTCTCTTCACACTTTTTGGATTCACTATAATTATTGTCTTTATTATGTTTACAATCTATACTTAAATCTGTCTCATGTACATGTTTTCGTTTACTTTGACATATATTTAGTGTTAAACAATTTGTAATTTGTTGACAACTATGTGACGGATTTCTACGAAATCGTCGGTAAAAATATTTAATTATCCTGTATAAAATATAAAGTAACATACATTTTATCAAAAATAAGATTGCATAAGTGAAATAAGAACTATTTTTTATTGTGTCTGAAAAATTAATATTTGTTTCTGAGGTCATTTTCTCTAAATTATCTAGTTTATGGCTTGCTAAATTTAATGCATCTCGATCGAGATTATTTAATTGTAAGGGAACAAGGTGTAATTTGGATTCATTATTTATCTTAATATCATCACAACAGACTTCTGGAAGGGATAAATCTGGAATGATAGACTGAAAATTACTTTCTTTTGGATTTGAGACAGATATCAAAATAGTTGATCCGGTGTAAGTTTTGCAATTATTCGAAGTAGAAAAAATACCTGTGTTTGAAAGAACAATAGATATTGGCGTACTAGTCTGACAGCTTAAAGTTAAATCTGTTGGTTTGGGTAAAACATATATCCAAGAATTTGGTTTGTTTAATTTATGCCAAATTTCATATTCTGTTTGAATTATACGAGTATCGCAACTAGATGGTATGTTTGTTATTGAAGTTAACAATTCAGTTTCACAAATTGGATTAGTGTGTGTAAATCGGAAAGTATCAGGATTTTTGCAAATAAGTTTTTCTTCATCTAATGAATAACAGTCTTCTAATGTATCAATAGTAACATAAATGTTTCTATTTTCTGAAAGAACAAGATATTTGACAGATGGAAGAATAAAGGTAAGTCTCTTTAATGTTGGATGAATTATAGGAAGAGATATTAGTTTAAAAAGAGAATAAGGAGTATTACTAACCAAAGGTATACTAACCGTAATTAAAATCTTGTTATCAAAATATATATATTTAAGTAAAATGATATCGAAATATTTATGAGCATAATCGATAGTCAATGGAAATGGATAAGTCGATGTACTAGGTAAATGCGTTACCGTTTTAGATAATTCTTGAATTAGTTGCTCAGGTGTTATAACAGAAGGATGAAGGTTATTATTTCTTGCAAATAGAATAACGTTTATTAAAGTAGAATATTCTTGTTGTAATTCTGTTATAAAGAAAGTTAGTAAAGTAAAATGTTCTTCAATTTTTTGTTTTAAATCTAAATTAAAATATTTATTATTCATTTTATCTGTGTAATTGGTAATTGATTCAAAATTTTTATCAAAAATCACTTTGTTTCGGTCTAGATTTGTAATAGAGTTATTAAAATTTGCAATCGTGGCTTTTACTACATGAATTTGTTGTTTTAGTAAATCAAGAAGATGATTTTCGTTACTTTCAGCTTTGTTAATAGCATTATTGAAATTTTCAGCATCATCACTGTCTAAGGTACCGAATAAGGTCCTGAAAACAGATCCAATTGCATTAAATAGAGCGCGTTTTGGGTCTAAAATGTTCATGCAGAATTATGTTTTTTAAAGTTTGTTCATCTTGAAAGAGTCTAGGTATGATTTGTCCTAAGAGTTTTAGTGAGGTATCACATAATCGTAATTCAACAAGAACTGGTTTGTTTTGACACAGTCTTAATGTTTTTTGATAGGTGAGATCTACAAAATTTAATTTGTCTGTAAAAGGTTGTAAAGGAATATGACTTAATATGTTCCAATGAGTTTCAATAAATTGAACATTTTTTATGTGTTCGTAATAGATTCCAGGTGATTTGTTGATAGGAGTATTGGTATATTTCTTGTGAATTTGTTCACTATTTGTCAGCCATATTATTGCATACCTGAAACAAAAGCATGTTTCAATCTATTCATGTGAACTTTTATTGGTTTTTTATTTACTAAAATTGTGCAATTGACAGGAGAATTTATCTCTAGAATTTTATAAGGTCCATTATAATTTTGTGTAAGTTTTTTGGTTTGACCCTTCTTTGTTTGCTCATTTTGGAGATATACTAATTGTCCTTCTAAGAAAACGGTGTCATTAATCTTTTGGTCATAATATTTTTTACTGACTACTTTAGATTCTAATAGATTCGTTTTTGCTAACTCATGAGATTTTCTAAGTTTAAGTGTTAAATTATCTAAATAATCTTCATATGTATATTTGAGTTCTACTGGTCGTATTATACTGCTAGGTAGATTAGGTGTATATCCAAATATTAGTTCATATGGTGTGAATTTGGTTGAAGTATGATTAGTTGTATTATATGAAAACATAGCAAAATCTAGCCATTCGTCCCAATCGGATTGATCAGCTTTAATATAATGTTTAAGGTAGTCTGCTAAAGTAGCGTGACTCCTTTCTAATGCAGCATTTGATTCTGGATGATAAGCAGTACAATTTATATGTCTGATTTTAAAAAGCTTGGCGATTTGAGAAAATAATTTGGAAGTAAAATCTCGGCCTTGATCAGTAACTATTATATCGGGTTTTCCAAACTTGCAAATAAATCCACGAACCAGATTTTCAGCGATAGTCTTGGTTTCATGATTCGGAATTGCGTAAGCTTGAGAAAATTTTGTTAAGTCATCTTGTAATGTTAATATGAACTTATTACCTGACTCGGTTAAAGGTAAAGGACCTACTATATCTAAAAATATTTTTTCTAATGGATTTGAGCTTGTTGTTGTTATCTCCATGGGCTTTACGAATTTTTTTCTAACGAGTTTATTTTTCTGACAAGATTCACAGGTTTTTATAAAGTTTTTAATATCATTTTTCATATTATTCCATTTGAAATGTTTTTTTATACGATTGTATGTCCGATGAAAACCAGAGTGTCCAGCCGTAGGACTAGTGTGATTCTCTTGTAATATTGTAGTTATTTCCTCAGGTTCAGGATTTGTTAGTATATCATGATAAATGATAATAGATATATCAGTTTTTCTAAAAATAAATCTAATCATAGATCTAATTTTTCCCCAACTTAATTTATCGTAGCTAAAAGTTATTCTGGGTAGGCAAATTTTTAATATTTTATCGTTTAATAACCAGTCTCTTAATTTTATTAGGGAATTAAATATATCTTCATAAGAGGTATTGTCCCAATAATTATTTTTTATAAATATGTAATAAAAGTTTTTATTTTGATCAGAAATATATATAATGTCATTTAGTCTTGGATTTTTGGCTTTCAATTTTTCTATATGACTGAATTGTTTATTTATTTGTTTCTGAACGATCTCATTAAAATTTAAATCTACGGAAACAAACAATGCTAAATTTTGTGAAAATGATGTAATCTTTTCATTTGTTTCTTTTATATTATCATTTGTTATTAATATAGTTTCGGATTTAGATAAGAACTGTGAATAAGTGTCATTATTTTCTTTACTCATTTTGTTTATTTGTAAGGTGATTGTTGCCGGGTTTTTGTTTTCTTCGCAAATATTTGTTTCAGATATGGTTAAAGGAGGACGACTTAAACAATCAGCATTTTGATTTAATTTACCTGGTTTATAAATAATTTCATAGCTATATTCTTCTAATGCTAATCTCCACCTAACGAGTCTTGATCCGGGATCTTTTACATTAAATAGCCATGTGAGTGGTTTATGATCCGTATAAATGAAAAATTTATTTCCGTACAAATATGGTCTAAAGTGTTTAACACTCCATACAATTGCAAGTAATTCTTTTTCTGTTGTGCTATAGTTTGATTCCGCTTTGTTCAAGGTACGACTAGCATAAGCAATAGGTAAATCATCTGGTACTTTACCTTGAGAAAGTATGGACCCTATTGCATAATTACTAGCATCCGTTGTTAAGACAAAGGGTTTGGTAAAATCTGGATACTGAAGTATTGGTTCTGAACAAAGTATTGATTTCAGGTTCTCAAATGACTGTTGTTGAATGCTTGTCCAATTAAATTCAACATTTTTCCTCAGCAGTTTTGTTAAAGGTTGTGTTAAAGCACTGAAATTTTTTATAAAGCGTCTATAATAACCAGTGAGACCCAAAAAGCTCTTAATATCTT